TACGGGAAGGCTGATGGGGGAGATGGCAAAGTTTTGAAAGGAAGCGACAAGTTTCTTTTTTGTTCGTTGCCAAAACGCTGACGTGTCCACTGGTTGTTTTTCATCTGGTGTGTTTACAGAAATGTAATATCATCGCATGCAAAGGGGAAATGTTTCAGAAGTGAACGGTGCATCGAAAAGGCGGAAATACACTCATGCACTGTTGCTAAATAAAAATTAAACATTCATTAGTTTTTAAAGTTAAATCATCTAAAAGACTTCTTCAGTCTTTTGGATAAAATATGAATCGTTTGAACAAGAAGAATCCGTCCAGAGGACCAGACTTAACTTTTTTAGATTTTTCTACCTGGATTATGGAGCATGCATCAGGATGTTCATTACAGTGTTCACCAGGTAGACCATTTCCTGAAACTAACAGGAGCTCTAAACATCTCTCTCCATCCATTCCACGCCATTTTTTGTCTTTTTGAAGTGCCTAATTCTGCTTCCGTGTCACACAGTCATGTGCCCTTTGTCTTACAAAAATATATAAAACTATATAAACGATAGGAACAGGTCACTCACTAAACACTGACATGCATTCATACACAATAAGCTCTAAACTGAAAATTAATCACATTCAAAGAGAGAGCGGGTCATTCCGGGGCGTTGTGGTGTCGCTCTGAAAACTTGTAAACCTAAACTCTGTTACGGAATCCCGTAAAGATACTGTGTTCAGTCTGCGTGGCAAATAATGGTGATAAAATGTCAATGTTCATCAAATGTGGGTGTAGTTTCCTCATTTTAAGGACGGTTTAAAACCACGCTGAAGGTAGATTTAGTTGTTGTCACTGATTTGTAGCAGCTTTACAAGATTATCTTTACCTGCATCTTTCTTTCTGTGTCGTGGGAGTCACTGGTGCCCATGTCCAGCAGTTACTGTGCGAGAGGTGGGGGACACCCTGGACAGGTCTCCAGTCCGTCACAGGGACACATAGAGACAAACGAGACAAACAACCATTCACTCTCTCACTCACACCTAGGGACAATTTAGAGTTACCAATCAGTCTAACATGCATGTTTTTTGCATGGAGAAAACATGCAAATTCCACCCAGAAAGGTCCCGGGCTGGGATTTGAACCAGCAAACTTCTGGCTGAGAGGCAGCAGCTCTACCAACTGAGCCACCGTGCCGCCGATCCTAAATCAAACAAAAATATTAAATTAGTTTACTGAAATGATCAAACCAGATCTCAATATATGTTACTGTTGGTAATTACAAAAAGAAGTACTTTTGTTTAAATCAAATAAAAGTAATAACAATAATAATGTAACTTGTTTCTTTGGGAATCAAACCCATCTCTCCTGTGTAACAGCCATGGAGTCTCACCACTGTCCTAAAGAAGAGTTCATGTAAGCTAATGCTAGCATGAAGTTAATTATCCAGGCTTCAGGTACGCTTCCAACAGGTTAGGGGTACGATGGACCACAGTTAGGATAATGAAGGAGGGGACGTTGTTTGTGAGAGACATAAATGCATCGTTTGCTTATGGTGGATTCAATTTCTGTTTTTTATACTGCTTAAAAATAATTTCCTCAAATTATTGTTTTGAGGGGAACAGTTTGTTTTTTCCAAAACTGGGGTTTGCGTTGCGTCACGTTGTCCTCATTTTGAGGCTTTTAGCTTCTTTTTGGAAGGAATCAAAGTGTTCAAAGAAGTTTTTTTCTTCTCTTGCATGTGTTTCTGTGTTAGCAAAATATTTCATAAGCCAGCAAATGGATTTTAATGAATCTGTCAGAATGTAAATATTAGACGTACATCGACAACTAATCAACTCTTGAAGTGACCTGATTCAAGATGGGCAGCCACAGCTAACTGACTATAGGAAACACAAAATGGCCGCACCTCTGTGACTTATATGTTGAACTTTAACTTGGTGTGGTAGTAGCTGAGAGTCATTCCAACACACACAACAGGTTGCATGAGATCTGGCTGTATCATGCAGAACATTACAGTCAACTCCATCATTTCTCAACGCAGGACAAACTCGGTGTACAATTTTGGCATGAAATGTAGCCGTAGATGCGCCTTCCTTCAAGGGGTTCTGGGTCTTTTTATTTATTTTATTAATTAATTTTTACAGCGAGACCCACATCACATCAAACTCTTCACCCCAGGAGGCTAAACGCTCTCTGCTCATGATCTCAGCGTCTGCTCACACATGTAAAATCAGTAACGACAAAGAAATCAGTAGTCTATATTTGACATAACTCAGAATCAAGGGTGCTTCATGGTACATTAGCTGGGCAGTCCTTCAGGAGCGCTCTAATTTAAATAAGAATAATAATAAATGGGACAGATAAAACACATCCTTGAGTCCTTTTAACGCTCTCATCTGAACTAAAACGAGTAAGTGCAGTCTAAAGACTTACAGCCTTTTTGTAAAACGTGTCGAGTGGCGGCATTACTGCAGCGAGAGCTCTTCATATCCTCCAAAGAGTCTACTACAAACACATTTTGGTGCTTATTTTAAATCAGACTTCTACCTTGTGAGGTTTATACGTAGGGGATCAGTGACACCGAGGTGATGGTTCTTGTTTCCTCGGTGTGTGTAGGCGGTGATCTGGCGTGGCTGGTGCTGGTCTTGATTGCTGCTGCTTGTGACAGTGAGACCGCAGTCCCATTCTGGCCACGCCGCCGCCTGTCTTCTTGATGGCGGCTCGTCCCCGAGCAATAGTGACAGGCGCTTTGGCCCTCGTGCAGACGGCCCTGCTCACAGGCATCACCCGCCCCACGGACCAAACCGCCAGGGACGGCACGCCAGCCTCCTACCCCTTCCCACCCCCTCACCTCCCCACGCTACTGTGTTGCTTGGCGTATGCTCGCCCAGGACGAGGGGAGGGAGCCTAATCTGCCCGCCAGTCAGAAACGTGCACCTTCAAGTTGCTGCGGTGGAGCTGACGTTGAACTGGTGTTTCTCATAATATTTTCTCTCCCTGACGCCACGCGTTTTGGCGGCTGGCGTGAGTTGGCGCGGCGCCTCTGAACAGACGAGGTGATCAGACCTCGCTCCAGCCACGTTTCATCAAAAACACGATACCAAAACCGTCCACGGGCTGCCTGTGATTTTTACACATGTCTGTGTCTGCCAGTCTTTTGTCTGTGTGCGTTTGATATCTCCCTCTTTGTTGTTTCCATGACAACGTGGCAGGACAGGAATTGATTGACAGGGATCGTCAAAGGGCTCCCTGGCGACCCGCTCATCGTTCGAAGCCCCTCCCTGCTGCAGTCTGTTTTGTCACTCACGCAGGGATATTTCTGATCTGCTGCTTCTCAGCCTTCTTTCTGTGTGCGTGTGCATGTGCGTGCGTGAGCGTGCTAAAAAACTGCCAGCTACTGGGGTTTAGTTCCTTCTTGGCTGCGGCTGACATGAATTACTCACATAGGTAAATCCTACTGTATGTTTGTACTCTTCCTCTGTGCTTGTGAAGACAGAATAGCCATTCTGCATGAGGGGGGGGTGTTGCGTGTATTAAAACGGCTGATGCGTATTGATAGCCCACTCCTCTGCGAGAGTGTTCGGAAGAGGCAAGGCTCTGTAACAGAAGACGCTCTGCAGATGTGTTATAGGGAGAACGGCACATAATGCTAATCTGCTGCGTTAGGGATTTTCAGGAGTTTTAGGAACTGTCTCGGGTCTGTCAGTCGGATTGAAGCGCAGCCAGGTTCTCCTGTAGCGCTCTCGTTTTGCAGAAATCTTGTCATGCACTCGTCGAGCGTCTCGCTCATTTGGGAAGGGGACGTGTCGGCAACTCTTAGGGCAACATTAATGGTTTGTGGCTTTAGGTTTGGGGAGCTGCGGAACACAAACGTAAAGAGGCGCTCGCATGCACATCATGATGCAGCCACAGCTGCTCACCTTCCCCCACCCCTCCACCCATCTCCTCTCAGGCAGCAGTAAATGGTGCCAGTGTATATATATCAGGTATTACGTCCACTTAGATTATGATGTGACAGGTTAGCGTGCCGTTTGAAGTTGACAGCACATCTGTTTCATCAGGAGAGACTGATACTGGCATCTAGGACACACATCTCACCATGCAGGAAGGAGATAAAGGAAGAAACCAGGGGGCTGTCTTTCCTGTCTCCCTGCTTCACTCTCTCTCCTCTCTCCCCCTTTTTCTCTCCAGCATCACCACCTCCTGCTCACTTCTTTTCATTCAGCTCTCATCTCCTCCTTACTCTCTCACTAACTGTTGTCTTCACAGATATGTGTGCACTTCTTTCTCATTTTCTTTTCTAAACCTTCTAATTTGTTCCTTTTTTACAAAACATCAATCTTTGAGCAATTGGGAGCTTTCTGCTTTATTTGTTAGCGTTGTTTGTGTTATTGTGATTCTCATAAGACTCAAATGCATGAAGTTGTTTGCCCCGAGCTCTGTCCTTCTGTGGGTACTCCAACTTTTATTGTTTTGCCAGTTCCTGCTCATTAGCTCAAATAGAAATGACATTCAGCTCATCAGAGTGGGTTAGAAAAAGCTCTGATGTCTTTTTTTCCTATCTCTAATCAGCTGAATACCTGAAAGTGTTAGGAGCTGAAATTTATGGGCGTGAGGAGGGAGATGCGTTAAAGCTCAGAAAGAAAAAGAGAGATTGAACATGCTAGCATGCAGCTGGATAACAAGGCCAAAGAGCCAGTTGTTTCCTGGGGAACATGAGACATGTGTGGAAAAATAGATAGTTAGGAAGGAAAAGGACAACTGTCAGGGGCTCAGTGATTTATTTTTTCCTTGGAGGCTTTTTTTTTCACCGCTGCCTTTCAGAGGCACATGTGTTTTTTAAAAAACAACTCGTGCACGCCTGTATGCAGACACATAGACACTCATCTTGAATGAGAATAAAAGCCTACATTTTCATCCACCGAGTATTCATTTCATGTTGTTTCGTCGGTGGTCCTGTTAGTGTGCTGTAAATTTTTAATTTGACTGAGCTGACCTCTTTTTTTGCCTCTCTTTCTCCAGCGTACATGCCTGAGGATGAACTCAAGACAGGCGCTCACGATGAGGAGGAGCACCTGCAAGATGACGGCCTCTCATTAGACGGCCAAGACACAGAGTTCCTGTGCAACGAGGAAGAGGAGGATGTGGATGGAGGCCAGCCACCTAGCTACAGAGACTCTCCACTCAGCAATGGTACTAACCCTGATGCCGGATATGGCTCTCCACTCAGCGACGCCAGTGACAGAATTGCAGACTTCAAGAGCACCTCCTCCAGGGACGGTCAGGAGAGAGAAGGCCTCACTCTGCCTTTTCGTCCTAACGGCTTGTCTTTCCAGGACAGCCTGGCAAAGATGAAAGCCGTCTATGCAAATCTTATCTCCGATGCCTCTTGGTCTAGCATTACAATGGACATCATGAAATCGAAGCCTGCTGCAGCTGGCAGCATCAACGCTATGCTCCCGACTCCAGAGCCAGTCTCTGCTGCCTCCGCCTCCTCAACTACAACCACAAACAAGAGCAGTGGGATCAACGTGGCCAGCAGTCACCACAACAGTAAAAGCTCCACTGCAACTGTCAACCATACAGGCAGCTTGAGTGCCAATACCAATGGCACAACAGCTTGTTCTGCCAGCAACCACAGTGCAGCCAGTGGCATTGGGAGCAACAGCGGTGGGGCCAGCAATGGGAGCGGCGTAGCCTATGACTGGCACCAAGCAGCACTTGCCAAAACTCTTCAGCAAACCCCCTACCACCTTTTACCTGAACCTAGCCTCTTTAGCACAGTGCAGCTCTACAGGCAGAACAACAAGCTTTATGGCTCCGTTTTTACCGGTGCAAGCAAGTTTCGCTGCAAAGACTGCAGTGCTGCCTATGACACACTGGTGGGTCTGACAGTCCACATGAACGAGACAGGCCACTATCGAGATGACAACAAGGACAAAGAGGAGGATCAGGGCAAGCGCTGGTCCAAACCTCGTAAGCGTTCCTTGATGGAGATGGAAGGGAAAGAGGATGCCCAGAAAGTGCTTAAGTGCATGTACTGCGGCCACTCCTTTGAGTCTCTACAAGATCTCAGCGTTCATATGATCAAGACCAAGCATTACCAGAAAGTGCCTCTCAAAGAACCAGTGCCAGCCTTGGCTACTAAGCTGGTGCCAACTTCAGCTAAAAAACGTGCTCACCAAGAAGCCGTAGTCTCCCCGTGCTCCCCAGACTCTATCCATGCTGGTAGTGGTGGTGGGAGCGTATCCCTTGGGGATTTAGGAAAAGATGCAAAAGCTGCAGCTAACCCCTATGTGACGCCAAACAACCGTTACGGCTACCAAAATGGAGCCAGCTACACGTGGCAGTTTGAAGCTCGTAAAGCACAGATCCTCAAGTGCATGGAGTGTGGGAGCTCACATGACACGTTACAGCAACTGACTGCCCACATGATGGTTACAGGTCACTTTTTGAAGGTTACAAACTCTGCGTCTAAGAAAGGCAAACAGCTGGTTTTTGATCCAGTGGTGGAAGAAAAGATTCAGTCCATCCCGCTTCCTCCAACCACCACACGACTCCCTGTTCCTGGTAGTGTTAAGTCCCAGCCTGTGTCCCCAGCCCTGTCCTCTGGCTCAGAGGACAAGAGGGAAGGGTGTGAGGAAGACAAGGTTGAAGGGTGTGAGCCGGTGGAGAAAAAAATTAAGGAGGAGAAAGATGACTCAAGTGAGAAATCAGAGACTGACACTACATCTTATAAATACCTTAGAGAAGAAGATCTGGAAGAGACTCCTAAAGAGGGTTTAGATATTCTTAAATCCTTGGAGAACACTGTATCCAGTGCCATCAGCAAGGCCCAGACCGGCACGCCCACGTGGGGCGGCTACCCTAGCATTCATGCTGCCTATCAGCTGCAGGGTGCCCTGAAGAATTCAGCTACCGTTCTACCCCCAACGGTCCAGAGCGTTCACATGCAACCAATGTTTAACAGCAGTATACGAGGTCTTGTAAGTAACCCTAACTCGGTCATCCACTCCCCTCGGAGTCCGTCCTCCCCAACTCCCCTTAGAAGTAATGTCACTGCAATGGAGGAGCTTGTGGAAAAAGTTACAGGAAAATCTGCCGTTGTTAAGAAAGAAAAAGAGGAGAAGATGGTGAGTCTAGAACGATGTCGGCCCCCTTCTGTGGTAAAATCCCCTTCTCCAGCACTGAGAGAGCAGTTGGCATCTCCAAATGACCTCTCTGTCGGGAAATCATCCGGTATGAGAAGCGTCAGCCCAGGAAGTATAGACTCTGAGATTGTCTGTAAGAAGGAGCCCAAAGAGAGCCTTGTGGACAGCCACAATAACCATTCAAAGAATGGCTCTGAGGTGTGCCAGTCTCCAGTAATGAATGGCAACAGTCTTGGCATTATCACAGACCACTCGCCCGAAAGTCCTTTCATCAACCCTCTCAGCGCGCTGCAGTCCATCATGAACACACACCTGGGGAAGGCTTCTAAACCAGTGAGCCCTGCTGCAGATCCACTGTCTATGCTTTACAAAATCAGCAACAGCATGATGGATAAACCAGCTTTCAACCCCAGTCCTCAGGGCAAGACAGCTGAGCCCACCAACCACTACCAGCTGTATGAAAACGATGACCAGCCCATAGACCTGAGTAAAAACAAGTCCACCTCCAACCACAACAACAATAGCAGTGGTGTGCTGTTGACCAACAATAGTGTAAATGGCAACAAACCCCTTATTTCCCTTCCTGAGTCGGTCTCCTCTCCTCTAAGAGAAAACGCTCTAATGGACATTTCAGACATGGTCAAGAACCTCACGGGACGGCTGACACCCAAGTCTTCAACTCCCTCGTCCATCTCCGAGAAGTCAGACGCTGATGGCAGCGCATTTGAAGACGCCCTGGAGGACCTCTCACCGGTGCAGAAGAGGAAAGGGAGGCAGTCTAACTGGAATCCCCAGCACCTCCTCATTCTGCAGGCGCAGTTTGCTTCCAGCCTGAAGGAGACCCCTGAGGGCCGTTACGCAATGACTGACCTGGGCCCTCAGGAAAGGGTCCACATCTGTAAGTTTACGGGCCTCTCCATGACCACCATCTCTCACTGGCTGGCTAACGTGAAGTATCAGCTGAGACGGACTGGGGGCACCAAGTTCCTCAAGAACATGGACTCGTGCCAGCCCGTGTTCCTATGTGGAGATTGTGCTTCTCAGTTCAGGAGTCCCTCCTCCTACATCAGCCACCTGGAGTCTCACCTGGGCTTCAGCCTGAAGGACCTGTCCAAACTGTCAACGGAGCACCTACGGGAGCAGCAGGCTGCCTCCAAGGTGATCACAGACAAAATGGCGTTCGGCAGCCCGCTGTCCGCCTTGACCACGCCGGAGGACGACACGGGCTCCGTGTACCAGTGCAGACTCTGCAATCGGACATTCGTCAGCAAGCACGCGGTCAAGCTGCACCTCAGCAAGACCCACGGCAAGTCTCCGGAGGACCACCTGGTGTTCGTCACCGCTCTGGAGAAACTGGAGAAGCTCGACAAAATGTAGAAAGTTTCATCGAGCGAGTCCGTGAGCTGCTGAGGGCAAAGACTGACCGACGTTGAACTGACTAGAATTTCATTGCACTAAAATGACGTTGTTCACAGTTACTGCACTGGGCCCAAAGGAGCCTCCAGAAGAAGAAATAAAAAAATCCGTCTTACTATTTTTAGTTGTGACAACTGCCTGACTGGACCATTTCTTTAAAAAAAAAAATTTGTTTATTTTCGTTTTTTTGTTTCGCCAAGCCTTTTTTTACACTTGTTTTGTAAAATATTTATATGCTATTTGTCAGATCTGTGCATGTATTTTAGTGAAACAAGGTTAAACCCAAGATTTTAATCTTTTCATGGCAAAAAATACAAAAACTACTGCTTGGATTGTGAGCGAAAGGGATCGGTAGAAGGCAGAGGACTGTATAATACTTGATTAAAGGACATTAAATACGTACACCAAAAGGAGTACCCTGAAAGACTGAAGTACGGTAGCACCTTAGACGGTTAAATCTTAAATTTGTGAGGAGAACACGATTTGAAATATCCTGAATTTGATTTACAAAAATCAAGGATTATCACCCCCCTCCTCCGCGGCGCGTCTCCTTGGTTTTCTGTCGCCACCACATTTTTTTATTTATTTATTTTTATTTGATGATGAATCTGTCAGTGTATAAAAAAGAAAAAAATAATAATAATTTGGAAAAACTGAAATGCTGCTTCTTGGTTCCAGTCAATCAACGGAAGTGAAACGCCATTTGTATGCAAGTTTGCTAAAAAAAAAAAAACAGATTTAAGGAAAACATTTCCTCGCTGTGAAGGGTCACTTTACAGCTATTTTCCAGTTGTATGTTTTGTTACAACTTCCTCTTTCTAAAATGGTGTAAAATCGGCTGTAAAGAGACGAGTCCGTTGCGTGTAAATGACCACCAGTGAAATGTCCGTGCTCCATTAGACATATCTCACCATTCAAAATGGCTCCAACCTTCTTTGTATCTTAAGGTGTGTGCATTCTCTAACTTTTATATTGTCATTTTATAAACAAAAATATTTAAAAACTCCAAATAAAAACAGATGGTGTACATAGATATATGCTGTAGAGCTACAAAATGTCCTTTTTTAAAGAAAATACAAATTAAGCTTCTTTGGCTCGGTTTACAGACATGATTTTAATTATACTTGCATCCAATTTGGTGCATGAAATGGTGTGGAAAATAAATAAGCGATGCACAATGACTATACATTTCAATGTTTTGTTGACATTATTGTAAAAAAAAAAAAAAGAAAATGAACTTTTTAGCACCAGTTTTGTTTTTTTGTTTCCTCAATTGTAAAATAAACCCCAAAGCAGTTGGTAACAGTCATGAATTTGTGGTTGGCGTGTGGTTTTTTTTGTGTGTAAAAAAATCTGAGCTGTGGGGCAAATTAAAGCATTCACATCCGAATCCGATCCTAACCCGTGGAACGGGATTTCATTTGTACGCTTATTTTTAATTCAGGCGTAGCGGAGGTGCGAACGTTTCTGGTGAAGGTGGCTGGTTTTAGCTCCGCCTCTCGTTTCTAACTGATGACTGAGCCACATCAGACAGGCGGTGATTAAAATGATAAAGATGACGGGGATGATCAGCCTGTGAGGGTCTCCATTGTGCCGAGAGAAACCCATGCTAGGCTTGTGACTGGTTTTCAGAAAGAATCGCTGCTCTGTAAAGCAAGCCAGCGTTTCTTCCTGGAACCGGATCAGTTCTGCAGCAGCCATTGTTTCTTTGATGTTACAAGTGACAGTTCAGATCTTTTTAAATCAACTTATCTGCTGTAGAGAAGTTTCTGAAACAGACGGCTACTTAAGGCTGAGCCCAAAGGGGGAATGCTGCTATTTAAAACATATTACAGCTTCTCTTGTAAATGGTATTTTCATAACACTTTAAAATGATTTTAGTATCCCACGTCATAGAGCAAAAAAAAAAAAACATCTAGTCTAACATAATCCAAAGGTTTTCAATGTACATGTCTAAGATGTTTCATTTAAACTTCTTCAAGTTTCAGTGATAGAATGCAGGTTTTCATCAACTTATTTAAAAGTTGTTTTTAATTTGTCTTAGGATATTGTGGGCCACATAGAGATGGTCTAAGGGCCACTTTTGGCCCCCGAACCATACGTTGGCCATGTCTGCTTTAACTTGTCAAACCCACGAAGTCACCAGCTTTTAAAAGATTAATCTGATCAGTTTGCTGCTTCAGCACAGAGGATTTATTGACCTGAGCTGAATGCACTGCGACCTCCACACGACCCCTGTCACGAACTGGGCCTCTGGTTCTGTCTCCGTCCTCAGGCGGGCCTGCAGGTGAAGCGTCCCAATCAGGAATTCGATCTCCCATCACGCCCTCATGTCTCCAGTTCCTGATGGAGTCCTTACAGTAGCAGTCTTTGTGTGGATGAAGCCATGTGTTATGACTTCCATACTCACACTCGCAACACGTCTCATGTCAGCTGAGTCACGCACACACACACACACACCTCAGTCTGCACCTCGCTGTGTTGGTACACGGATTCAGTGACAAAGGAAACATGCAGAGGGCAGATTAGTCCGGCTGAAGGCTCAGCCTTCATGGAGAAGGGCCGTTGAGTTGGGTTATAAAACAAACAAGGCAGATAAACAAGCAACATTTGCTTGTGCTCCCCCAGCACCCAAAATAAAAACACCTTGTAGGTTTAATGCCCCGCAGCTAAACCTGTAATTTCCCTGTATCGTCAGATAGCTCCTGAGCCGATGGAGGCTCTTTGCTGCATTGTTAGAGATCGCTGCGCCGCTTCCTGTGCATCTTCTATGTAAATTACATGAGATAATCGCCACGCACGGCACAATGCTGGTTCCCGCGGTGCAAACGCAAACCGAGGGTAGATAAACGCAGGCCGGGCCGATTTGCATAGCCTTTGTGTTTTGGGCGCTGCTGAACGTGAGCTCTGAGGATCGGTGGGGATTTCCTCAAGGTTTTGTATAAGTAAACGCCTGCTTCCTCCCAGAGCCGGGGCCATTATGTTCAACAGACGGGGGAGGGGGGCACGGACGGAATAACAAAACTACCTGGGCTGGTGGGAACACAGGAGGGAGTGTTAACCTCGTCCGCCCAGGTGGAAACAGGTTCTGTTGGTGTTTGCATGTCAGTGTGTAGATGCATCACCGTCAGTGGTTCCAACACTGGTCCCTGAGGGACACCATCCTGCATGTTTCAGTTGTTGTCCTGCTCCAACACACCTGATTCAGTAATTTAATTACTTCCTTGTGTTCTGCAGAAGCCTGTTAATCATCCATTCAGTCAAGTCAGGTGTTGTTGCCGAGAAACAAATAAACATGCAGGATGGTGTTCCTCAAGGACCAGGGTTAGGAACCACCTGATGGAGAGGTGGCACCTTACAGGTAGACCTCACTTAGAGGGGAATCCAGTGCCAACGTCCCCCGTCACTGAGGGAATGTTTGCAGTTTAACTGATGAGGTTTTTCTGAACAGGTAAACCTTAATGTTTCTGGTATGTTAGAGATTCTGGAGCAATTTTATCCATGACACAGAGGCGGAGCTGCAGGGGGACCAAGGGTGGCCTTAGGGTGCATTCACACCAGCCCTGTTTAGTCCGCTTTAATCGAACTCTAGCTCGTTTTCCTTGAAAGTCTGGTTCATTTGGGGAGGTGTGAACGTGCCATCGAACTCTGTCATGGAACAAAAATGCGAACTCTGGCCCGTGCTAAAACCTAGGTCTCGGTCCGGTAGAAGCGAACTCCAGCGCGGTTCGAGTACAGTGTGAATGTAAACAGACTGGACCCCGCTCCTCAGGGTAAACAAACACGCATTTCTCTGACCTTATATGGAGCCGTCAGCTGCCTTGTGTGAAAAACAATATTCTCCATGGTCTTCTGTCTCATCTTCTGCTCATGCTAAGTCCATTTTTGAAAAATGACAAAATACAACTCCTAAAACTTGATGCCACTTCGTTTTTATTTTTATTTACAGAAGAAGAAGACGTGTCTTCAGAAGTTTTTGTGTCGTTTCTTTCAGTAGTTCTTGGTGCAGCGCCCCCACAGGCGAGTGGGGGAATAGGTTGGTTCAACAGGTTGACTCGACTGCACAGTGCAGTGTGAATGCAAACGCACCAGCTCAAATGTAAACAAAAGCTCATGAATATTGGTCCCGAACCGAACCGAGTCTACCGGACTATCAGGTGTGAAAACGACCTTAGATTAATCTTCAGCCACCCCAATCAATTGAGGATACTATAATTTTAAGCAAAATAAAACCTAAAAAGCATAGTTTCCTGAAATGATTGGGGTGGTTAATTTTTATTTATATAAATATAGATTTATGGCGGTGGCCATCTTGAATTTGGCGTGGTAACTCAGTTTTCAAACAGAACCTTCCTTACACCCAGATGCAGATGCACCTCTCCTATTTAAGTTATCACCTTCACAACATTCACGGTCGGACAGTATTTCCAATTCCTCCTCTTTGCTCCTCGACGGGGACAATGAGTCGGGGGTGCTTGTTGATCTGAGTGCGTCTCTTGTTGAGGTCTTCAGGTGCGCCTTAAATCGAAGCTGCGCTCAGAGGAAACGAGTCTTTTGTGAGGGTTCGTGTGATTTTGGGCCGTGGCTGCTGGTTTGAACATGATAACAGCCTGCAGATGTCTGTCAGGCACGAAACAAAGACTGAGGAGGATCCCCGTGTGCCTCTGCCGTCTGCAAAGCCCTAACCCCTCCGACGTACCGTTTAATACCCGTTCAAAGTACCGCGAACCAAACAAACGATGTAAGACAAACAAAGCTACGACGACCGGGAGCCTCTGAACCGGATCAGAGAGCGAAGTCGCAGAAATCTGTTTGTATCCTGATAAAAACACCTCTTTGTGTAGATTTCACTTCACAAGAAGTTTGGCAGAACAGAACTTAGTTTGTGGATCTGTTGAGTTTGTTGGGCTCAATTTGAATATTTATCCAGCCGAAAAACTGTATAACTCAGGATATGTGATGCTCTGCAGGTTTAAAGAGGTCCTGAACTCTCTGAGCCTCAAGTCTTTAATATTTCATCATCAGATGCTTCAAACTGACAGCTTTGATGCAGAACAATTCTGCAGTTTTAGTTGTTTAAATGTTTTTAACGGGGCCGATTTGTAACCATCGAAGCACTTTTATTACTTTAGTTGTCCGTTTGTTCCATCTGAAATCAAAACATTGTTTAAAGTGTAAAACAAAAGTCACAAAACGTCCGATTTTAAATCAGATCTTCAGCTTTTAGTGCAATGATGTTCCACTCTGTTACAGAAGGTTCCTAAAGTTCAGGGTCAGGACCCCTGTGTGGGTCACGACCTCAAAATGTGGGTCCTCGGATAATTGTCAGAAATCAAAACGAGTTTAAGAATGATTTATTTTAGTTTGTTTTCATCCTAGCTGTTAATAAAACTAAAAACAGAAGTCATAAATGATAAAAGGTTCAGCTCTTGGCGCGATCATTTTAAACGTTTTATCTGCGGTTCAGATTCTGAAAGTTTTAAGAACAGCTGCTCTGTTAAACTGCTTAAAGTTTATAAACTGTTTGAAAACGCACACATGTACAAACTTTACACTTCTCTTACACTTTGTCCACCAAACGAAGACAGTTTTTGTATTTTCATTCAGTTTTCTCAGGTTCCTGCAGAGGGGGGAGCACACCTCCCAACTCTCAAGGTCAAGGTTCTTTATAGTCATCCACATCACATGTGGTACATGGGGTGGAACAAAATTGTGTACTCAAGGTCCCAAATACATCCAACAATAGCAAAAATATAAAAAGAAACAGTAAATAAGGATCTAAAATATAATCTAAGACATACACTAAACACTAATAATATAAAACAATACTGTGTAACAACAGCAGCACGAACATGAGTCTGTGTGAGTGGATGAGTACGAATGAATGAATACAGCAGCAGGAAATAATCAGAAGCATGAGATCAGCAGCATGGATAATCAGCAGCACATATTATCAATCAAAGTGGCATCACAGTGATTATCTTGGTTAAAGATTCATGAGACTAACAGCCTCAGGTAGAAGCTGTTCCTCAGTCTAGTGGTTCTACACTTAATGCTCCTCAACCTCCTTCCTGAGGGGAGCGGGACAAAAAGTGTGTGTGCTGGGTGAGTGGGGTCCTTCATGATGCAGGTGGCCCTCTTCCTTCATCTGGAGGTGTAGATGTCTGTGATGGTGGGGAGACTGACTCCAACAGACTTCTGTGCAGCCTTCACCACTCTCTGCAAAGC